TATCCACGAGTTCATCTTGTGTTTATTTTGGAGTATGCTTATTAAAAAGTAGATGCAAACCAATTATCAACCGATCTGTTTTTTTTTCCTAAATACTATTTAGAAACGATAACATGTTTCTAACCCAGTTTTGAATAAAGATCTGCAAGTTAACACTCTCTTCTTTAAATAGGAGGAACTCTCCGAGCATCCTTTTGAACTTTAACCTACTTTTTCTCTCCCAAAGGCACAAAGAAAATGATAAGCATGAAAAAGCTAATAAGGTGTATGCATTTACTTATGCTAAGACAGTTGTTGACTAACAGATTAAACTACAAACATTGGTTTGAAAATGGTGAACTAAACAATAGATATTCTTTTGGTTACGAATGCTTTAAACTAAATGACAATCACAGTACAGGTAATTAAACTCTGATACAATTTTATACTATAATTAACATGTATGTTTAAGAACAAATTGTTTACGTTTATGGATGAAGATTATCTTTTGAATTAGTGCTGTAAATTAAAATTCATGTCTGAAATGTATTTTATGTCTAATATTACTCCCACTACCACAGTTTTCCTCTAAATATAAAACGGCTACAAATCCCAGACATTATTCAAAACCTTTTAGAAATCTAACAAATCACTCTTGAACGTATCAATGCGTTTTAAACAGGTGTTACGTTACATTTAATCATATTTCATATTTAAATTAACATTTATATTTTGATAGAATATTGTTAGCTTTAAACTTGAGCAAATATATAAATATAAGCCCTCTTTTAGTTTCTCTGTATTTTATATACAAATAATTTTACACATTTCAAATTCCAAGGCAAGCTCGTACTGAAGTTAACGCAAATGAACAACGCACTTGCAGAGATAACTGCACGTAACAAGCGTTTAAACTCAACAAGCAGAGGGCGCAAAGTGTTCGTTGCGCTCTCCTACATTAAAACAGGAAGTTGTGCTCACTGGACACTGTGGACAGAGACCGTAGTCAACGACGCGGATGTTGTAAGTATGAACCGCTGATAAAATATATACATGTCGACTTAGACCAACAATTTTGCACAATTCATCAATGCCGGACATTCAAAAAACGCTCTAACGGGTTGAAACGACCAAGCATCCTGCGTTTGCTTGTAGCTGGTGAAAGAAAATAGGTATGAAAATTAAGTGCCCTTCTACAGTACACTGTTTCTGACATTTTAATTTAACTCAGTTTAGTTATGAGGCCCATGGAAATCACTGATCAAAACGCTGAACACGAGTCCAGCTCCAAGAGATGACCATCACTGGGTGGAGAAACTCTTCCCTCCTCGTTTCACTTTCCAAAACCTGCTGGAAAACCAAACCAGACGCAAGCGAACAATGCAACAGTTCAACAAAACCATCATCAACCCACTCCACCAGCCTGGACGAACCCCAGAGGAGCCACAGAAGGCAGATCTACCTGAAAGCTTTGAAAGAGGTTCAGCAAACCGAGCGACTGCGCAAGAAGGAGGCCCTGGCCAAGAGATTGATTAGGCATGAGCAGCCTGTAGATGAAGGAGCAAACTCTGAAAATCCTACTGACCAGAACGAGACTGCGGGACAGAGGTGCATTTGGAATGAGAGGGACATCACCAAACTGCGGGCTGGTATTGAAGAAGTAGAGAGGGACAAATGGCGACTAAAGCAACAGTTCATTTGTACAGAGGAGCAGCTTAAAGCAGAACATGAGGAAAGGATGAAGCTGCAAGGCCTGGTGGAGAAGCTGGAGGAACAGTTAAGCCTTTACAAAAAAAAGGGCTACACGTCAGGCCCTCATGATAAATGATCTGAAGTCAGAGAGCCAAAAAAATGAACGCTCAGTTACATAAGCTGACTATACAGGTCAGGGAAACGGAAGAAGCAGACAGGTGGAAGACAAGTCTGAGACGAGCAAAAGGAGCACAGGAGCGCTCCAACCTCGCATGGGAACTGGAAACAGCGCAAGCGCAATGGAAATCTGAAGGAGACAGACTGGAAAAAGTGGCTCAGATAGAAAAGTGAAGTGACATGTGGCCAAGTATGGTGACCCATAC